AAAAGACTTAAAGTACAAAGGCCGCACAGCAGGTTTCTGATTGTTTGCAGTCACAGTATGAATGAAATTGATAAATGTTCGGTTTAACGTGTTTGTAGAATCCACCAAATGTTTGGCTTTTTTTGTCACCTCCTTGGAAATCTGCAGGGTGTTATAGTTGAACACCACATTACCATCCATACCAGTGTGATCCCATTTATCCAAAGGAATGTTTGATGGTAATTGCGACATGTCGTAGAGTTCAGATTTCTCTGGGCCCGCACGGTTTCTCCTGCGCTGCTGATGCCATATATGCTCCATGTTCTCGAGGACACTGTCACAGGCCAAAACCAGATCACAAAGGGGCTCTGGGCTGCACACGTAGCAGTACCATTTACTCTCTAAGATGCCAGACAGCTCCTTCCTTCCCAGGTTTCTAAGAATACACTTCTTGCAGAAGGCATTACTACAGTAGTCGCAGCAGATCAAGTTGCCTCCTTCAGCACACCATCTGCATGAGGAAAGAGTAAGAGACAAGGAAGCTAAATGCTTCAAATAGGGTACAAATAAAGTTACCGATTTTAACGGGTACATATACATATGCATCCGTTAAAATGTTAAATTCAACACATCCTACCTGCACTGCTCATCCATTCCATCTCCATCCTTGCTGATGTCGTCACTTAAGTAATACTTGTAGCAAGTCTGACAAAAACAAAACATTTAATGTAAGCATTACAGAGAGCTGGGACAAAAAGGGTATTAAAAGGACGTAGACTTTACTTATTTCCTTCAAAAGAGGGTGGTTACTCTAGTTTATAACAAGGGCTAATTGAAATCATTGAAATCAAGTGTGGCCTTGTTTTGCTTTACAGATAATAACATTAATCTGAAAACCAATTTGAAAATATTGGCATCTTGATGAGCAGACTCACCTTGCAAATAAGTACTTTCAGAACTGGATGCCGGTAGAAGGAATCTTTCTGAAAGTGGTTCACTTGTCGGCCACATGCAGTGCAACTGACAATTCCCATGTGTTCAACTCCTACGAAAGCACATATCACAGTCAGTAACAACACAATGGTTAGAATTACACATCAATAATGACTTCAGAAAGGTTAGACTGTCCTGTTCAATCTCTACTCAGCTCTACCTCATTCTTGTGGTGAGATGTCCATGGGCTGGATAACTGGTTTAAATGCAAAATGTCCCTAATGAAGTGATGAACGGAAGTGACGCTGTTGAAGCCACTTTATTTCAGAGTGAGTGTATCAGTGATGTCTCTCACAACAAGATAATGACCAAGCTGCATTTAGACACAAGGTGAAGTGCATTTCCATCTTTGAACACTGATATGTGCCTCTTTTTAGTTTCACTTTCATGAAGTGATATGAAGTTTTATGACAAAGCAGTAGTGACTGACCTCCGCGTCTTCTTGAGAACTCTTTCCGCAGCACGTTGGATTTTCGGCTGCGAAATTCAGGACCCCTGAAGTCATCTCTTCCATTATCGACAGGCTCAGGCCTGACCAGTATGGTGCCTGTGTGAACAAGACATAGTAACATTTCAATCAAATATTTCATCATTGTTAAATGTGTAACTATGACCTAAGGCTGGAGACCAACCTACACTCTCAAAAGTAACAGAGTGATTACAGCGGGAAACTTGAAGACTTACCTTTAGGCAGTCTTGTGATATCAAGGTGACCATTTTTGGTGGCTGGTAAATCAACGTCCTCACTTGCATTCGAATCCCCAGATTCATCTAGTCCAGAGTGCTTTGTGACAACAGAAGGTTTTCTGAAATATCAATGAATCAGAGAAAATGTAAGTCATGGATTGAGGCGGAGGGTTACCAACAGTTATGGTTTCTGAACTGCTACTTCTGTGTTTCTTTATGAGCAGTGGGCTTCAGAGGTCTTAAATCGTTTAATTCCTGGGAGAGATGTAATCCTGCCCTGACTCAAGTAATTCAGTGCATTTTACTCTGCATCCAAAACAAAACTTTACATGGTAGGGTTAAATAAATCTAGACTGTCCTCACTAAATGAGACTCAACGTGATGATTGTGTGACATTGGGGTGCTTAATCTAGGCTTGCAGGGATATACAAACTCACCTCCTTGAGTATCTGGTATCCACACCTGCCTGCAAGGCAAAACACTTTGTTAGTTTAGTCAATACTGGTGGTATCATCAGTGGCACTTTGTGTGTTGATTATAGCTTTACATTGGCTTCTAATGTGGCAAAGTACTTTTATTCTTCTCATCGATGAATTACAACTTAGGCAAGTAGTGAAAGAGTTTTGTTTTTTTGTTAGCAATGGTTTATGAAAGGATGCTCATTCATAAAGATTAACTATCAACATTACTAGAGACATTTCTTATACAAACTTTGCAAGGAAAGGCTCCTAATTCATAACAAATGCTATTCCCCTTGATATAGTCCTGCTTTCATACACTTTATTGTGGCACTGCTGTAAATGTCCAAATGTGACCAAATCTTCAAATAACAACACAAAGAATGTCTTGTTACCTCTGCTGCAGTCTGGCCTCTTGGGTCTCCCACAGAACAGCTCCTGACTTTCAGACCTGCGAACAACAGATCAGTTCAAATGTTAGTGAAACACATGACTGTGATGAAAATGTCTCCATCAAACAATAGTGGATTAAACAGAAACTGTACCATCAGCGTCCTCTGAGGTTGGTGTGCCATTGCTGTCCTCAACGGTGGAATGAGCTAAGTACTCATGTAGCTTGTTGACCAATACATTCAACTTGTTGTTGGTAGAGCTAAAATCATAAAAGATATGTGTGGTTATGGTAAACTCGACATTCAGAAAAGCCTAGCTGGTTAATCGACATGTTGGTTAAAAGCTGGATTTATACAATTTATTAGCATTGGGAACATGAAGTGAATTAGATAGAAATCAATTCGTTATCATCTCAGAAACCATTTGAGATCAGCTCAGATCCCTCACATTGCATTAGATGTTAGATGATGTTAGAAAACAACTGTAAATTGAGTAATGACATTTTTGGGAAGTAGAGGACTTAACATTGTAATTTAAGTCAAAAGTTAATGAACTCTTCCATGTCATGTTAGTTGTGAAGCAGGGCATGATTTCCACAGAATACAGGAGGTGATACAAAGTGTACTGTATCAGAGTGCTTTAAGCATGTATTGTAAATTCACAAAGGATCAGAACACAACCTCAGCTCCGAGTCAAAGCCAGTACAACAACCTGTAATGAATCCTGCCTCTATGAACACAATGTTTGGGTTTTATTTGTAGCGTCCCTGTTTAATCTTCGTTTGTGTTTCCTGATCTTTGTGATGCTGGTCATCTGTATCTGCGTTGCAGACAAGTCTTTGTTTTTGTTGCCCCCTGATCAACATAAATGGTTTGTGCGAATAAGTAGCACGAGTCGACAACGTTTAAACGGCAAAATTGTTTGACATTGTGATTTATACGTATAATAAACTTAGCTTTAGCTCTTTAACTGCTACAAACAGACAGGCACCTACGTGTTGTGATCAGCCTAAGTGGGTAAGCTACAAAACATTTTGGATTAAGAATTAAACCCGTCCTGTTCATATTACTTAATTCAGGGTAACAGCTAACTAGGCCAGGATTCTGTTATTTATCTGTTATCTGTTATTCACAACAGTTAGCTGTTAACCACCACAGCTGGCTAGTTGCTAAGCTAGCTCGTCGTTATTCCCGCTCGTACAACGAGTATTCCAGGCCACAGTTTTTACCTGAGCATCGCTGCAGACATGTCGCAAAGCAGGCGAACCAAGTCGTTCAAGTCCTTATCGTCTCATAGCAGCAAAATAAACAGATACGAATGACGGCGCTCACTGTGAAGTCCGCATCTCGTCACAAAACATTCAAAGATGTGATGTTCATTGTGTCTTCTTTTGGTCACATTCGAGTTTGACAAACCAGCTGGTGTACTGATTACCGCCACCTACTGGGCTGAAAGTGTGTTACAGTATTTTCTTTGGCACCTTCTCATAAATTTGATTGACATCACAACAATATGAACAAAAATGTATTTGCTGGTCTCAGCTATTAGTCTTCCACCCACTGTGGTGTTATCAGCTCTGTCAACATCTACACTCTGTGTTCTACCAACATGCTTTATAGTGATCTCCACTTTCCAATTTCCTGGGAACTGCCAATGCAAATCATGTCAGTCATTAAACACACGTCCTCATCACAGCTTTTCTTTCTTTATATATAAGTTCAATTCTCTAATCCAGAGTTTAGTGCTTGCCAGAGCAATTATAAGTTCAGAACATACAAATAAGCAAGAGTGTTTTCAGTATTTTCCTCTAGAATTAGAAAGAATTAGACCATTCTTTGGAGCATATAATCTGCACCAAACAAATAAACAAAAACATAAAAACACACAGAGCCTTACATGTTAAATATTCCTATTGTGTTAGTGTTAGTGATTTTGTGATTTAAAAAAAAAAAAAAAAATTGTAACTTCATTTTTACTTTTGGCACACTCGTATCACTCGGTTGGATGTATTTTATTACATCATGTTATTCATCTATAAAACTTCCAAATGACCTAAGCTCCCTTCTTTTATGTAAAACCTACAGCAAAAGATCCAGTAACTACCTAACTTTAACTTAACAAACTTCTCCCTTAAACTAGCGTCTTGTGTTCCCCTTGGATGTGTTCAACCTTTATGAATCGTGCGACTGTTTTGATTCATTTATTTTAATTTAGTTGTTTTGCTCGCGTTTAATTGTTTAGTTGTAATAGTTGTGAATGTTCCTTGTTATCACGCCTCTCTTGCAGAACAGATGTTGATCTCTACGTCACTGCCTGATCAAATCAAAATGAAGTAAAAAAATAAAAACATAAAAAAATAAAACTCCATCCTCGCTGCATCGACGCCCGGCGGTGACGTCACCGGGCGGGGCGGGGACACATTCCTACTTTGTCTCTACGTGGAGGACGCAGCTCCGCACACTGGACGCTGTCTGGACTTTTAGACGCACCGACGGTGAGTTACAATTTCCTGGCGACTTCTAGAGCAACACCTCCCCGAAAGCCTGAGCTTACATCAGCTTCTTTAATTTGAGATAACACCCTCGTCCTCTCCGGTCCTGCCCCGTGATAGCCGCTCTCCTCCGGTAAGAGCTGCGGGTCTGCAGAGTAAACAGATAGTTTCCTGTCTATAAAACTTGCATGGTTTTTGTCGTTAGCCGGCTAGCTTTAGCTGCATCTTTCATGTAGCCCACTGAGGTCCTGGAATACTGAAGTGAAGAAGTGTTAACTCGTGTGGCTGGAGAACTGCTAGTCTGCTATTCAGAGACACAACTAAGCTGGCGTAGAGAGTAACTAGTAATTCAGCATGGGTGCTCATTTCTGTGTGTGGGCTTCAGCTCCACGTTTTTCTCGGGATTTACACTTTGGGGATGTGACACACGCTTAATAGCGAGTTAGTTCGTTTTCTCTGCCGCCTCTCACCGGAGGGAGGAAGCCGCACAGGTGGAGCCCGATCATGAATGAGCCACACATCAACACAGACACAGTGTAGGTGCACAAGCTGGAGCTCTAACAGGTCTTTAACTGCTCCAGGCGTGTGCTTCCTCACTGTTTGCTCGTGTGATGATAGATCACGTTCCTCTTTTAACTTGTTGACTCTTTATATGATGACGGGGCGGTTCTAGTAAATGTTTTACCCTCAGTTAAATAGATCTGCCTCTCCCTCTCCGGTGTGCCATGTTTCTGCGATATGGTACATGTGCAAAGTGGAGTTTCATAAGTTGATGTAAGAAAGAGATCCTCCAAAAGAATAGTTATTATGTGATCTTTATTTAAGTGAGTGTTAGAAAGTGCTGCGAAGGGAAGGTGGTTGTTTTAAGACTGAAGGGAGTAGCCTGTGTACTTACTCGTATGTGTAGAACAGTGTTTTATGTGCATGTTGTTTTGCAGCTCTGAATGATTTAGCAGATTTTTCCTTTAGACCCATCTGGGGCTCTACCACGTCCAGCACATGCACATCTGGGATCCTAATTCAGGATCACTGTTTAAGCTGTTTTGGACAACAAGGTTATGTGATAGCACCAGAAAAGCCCACATTTATATTTGCTCAATATTGTGACCTGGAACATGAATCATGTTGTGAATACAGTTGCTCATCCAAGGTCGGTATTTACTGGTCAGCATTTCTTACTGTCTGCCCCTGGTTAAAGTCTCCTCATGCTTCTTCAGTGGTATATTAAGATGAATAGGTGATTTAACAAATGGTGATTCCTAAAAACAAATATAATAAGTCCATATTTGCACCAGGAGTCTGGAGACAATGTTTTACTCATTGTGTCATCACTGGAAAAAGTGTTTGTACCTCCTTTGTTGGAATAGAGAAAAAGCTGTAGCTCATCCCCGCTTGTCACTGATGTGATCTGTGAGGTCATTTTTGCCCTTGTGTGTGCATGTATGGTGTATACAGCAGCTTCAGTAGGTAAAAGAGGAACCAAGAACCAAAATGAGAGCACCTTACTGTCGCTCTGTTAAATACAGACATGATGGGTCTGATGCTATCTCGGCAAGGACTAACCAGACAGTCGAGGAGGAAGGGAGTGAGCCTGTGTAGCATTTCCTCTTCACACACAATTATCTGCGCCAATGAACAGGTTTCCCCGCTTCCTGTGCTGTCAGGAATTTTCACAGGTGCCTTCACCTGGTATCCAGCGCAGTGAGAGCGATTGAGTTACTGGTGAGCTGCACTTGAGCTTGTACATGTCAACTTCATTAAGCATAAAGGTCATTCCAATTAAAAGTTATATATTTTACAGCAGTTGAGTATCTATAGATGAAATGAAAAAAAAGATGATTTCTTTATGACTTTATGGTCTGTCATGTTGCTGTAGCTCCACCTATTAGCCTGGTAATGCAAAGATGTACCAAAAAAGGTGAATAATATTTGATCAAATTATTCAAGATTATTGATAAAACAAACTCCTGTAAAGACATACCACATCAAGAACAGAGTTGAGGTTGAAATTTTGGTAGCAAATTTTTTACTGTTCCATAATGTATAAAACAATTAATAATGTAATGCAGTTGCTTCTTTATATTGTGCAGCAAGGATGGATCCAGTGTCTGATTCAGAGGCACCTCAGCAAAATGCATGCACGAGGAAAGGGTGGTACTTCAGCTAGTGTGTATTGTGCTGTCTGATTATAAAGTACTTAAAGGGTAATGCTTTACAGTGGTTTGTTGAGTAATGACAAACCCTCATAGGTGTGGCTGCTTACCTGCAGCGACTGTTTCAGCAACACCTCAGTAACCTGTCCAATGACATTCCTCAGACATGGTGGACGGGGCTTCCTGTGCTCATCCCACTAATAGCACAGGCCTCTTAATCTTTTTGTATAATTTATTACAGCTCCATCCTTTCATTTGAGGAAAGGTAGAGTACTATAGAGAACAGGTAGCTGTTCACAGTTAGACATAATGTTAGTTAATGTTTCATTTGACTATTTCCATGATGATTCACCATATTGAGAGCTTTTATAATACCCCTACAACCAACCTAGTTGCCGTGCATGCAGCTGTACGACTGAGAGATGTGTAAACTACACATACAATATTTGTTGTCGTCACCTCCTCCTTACCTGTCAGCCTGGCTGTGTTTGTCTTCTCCATGCCACCTGAAAGGGAAATAAAGGGCTGTGTTACAGACTGTATGGTGTTTATGAGTCAGTTCGCTCCACATCTGCGGGCAATTGTGCCTGAGTAAAAACGTCCATGTTCTTGCAGACGACGTTGGGTGTGTGCACATATGAACTTGACCACATTTGGGAAGGCTGCCCAATCTATTTGTGTGCCTCCCAATTCCCAGGCAACTATGTGGATGAAACAGTGGCGGGACGGGGTGTGTCAGCTCGGCACATTTAACTCTGGGATCAGCCCCTCCACATCAAATTGACTGAAAGATTCGTCTGAGGTGCTGTTTTTTTGGCTCATCGGTCAAAGCTGGTGTTCGGAAAGAAATAGTTGTCCATGGATGATTTCCAGCAGTAAAGTGAGAGCTAAAGGACTGAGCGAGCTTTTGAATCAGGAGGAAACTACAAAGCAATTCCAGATGCTGTTGTTTTGTTAGTGCTGGATATCACGTGACCTTGATGACTGAAAACCTACTCAGAGGAATGTGTGGATGACTTGCATTTGTTTTTATTTTGTGTTCCTGCATTCCTATGGATATTTATGGGTCATATTTTCCCCATATTGTTACCTCCACCAAGGTGGTTATGTTTTCACCCCTGTCCACTCGTCAGCTGGATGGTTTGTTTGTCAGCAAGATTACACAAAGCAACTGAAAGGATTACCACAGAACTTGGTGGAAGGATGTGGTATGGGGAAGAACAAATTCAATTTTGATGTAGATCCAGATCAGGGGGCAGATCAAGGAATCTTTTTTAACTTTCTTTAACATTGTGAGCTAGGACATTTTTCAACATTTCCCAGGGAATAATTCAAGGATCTTGACGGAAGAAATCAGGCACATTTAGGGAACTGATATCTATGATATGCAGTTTGATTTACCATAAGGGAACATTGCCATTAATTAATCAAAAATATAGCAGCATCATCCTCATCTATTGGACCCTGCCCTGTGGCAGGGTCCAGTAGACAATAGACTGACATTTCAAGAGTGTATTTGAACTCTATCAGGAGTATTGATGTGCTTTCAACAAAATTATGAGCCACTTCATTGAGGAGGTTGGTTTTACATTCAGATGAGTGCAGGAATGTCCTCGTCCCTCTGACCACACAGACCAGCTGTCAAAGACGGCAACTGCCTGTGGAGCCTGACACTCCACACTCATTTTCTAGCGTTACACAAGATTTATTGGCGCTGTTTGTGACGGTGATTACAATCCCTCTATTCTTCTCTACCACCAGGGATACATCTCACATTTGTCCCCCTGCCATCTGTGCCCTTGCTCCATGTACCCCTCTTCTGTTTCCACTCCGCCTCTGTTGAGGTTGTGACATGGGCTGGCAAATGAGGTCATGTTTGTTGGCCCTTGTAGACGGGCTGACTTCAGCAGCCACATTTCACATCCTTCTGAGGAGAAGTTAAATATAGCAACACTGGCATTGTCATTTTCCTAATTGTTTAGTCAGGAGTTTGTGCTTTGCCCTGTTTTAGTCGTACTTTGCAGAAGAAAAACACGCTGTTCTGTGTGCTTCTTGGAATGGCATTCAAACCTAACGGTTAGTGCTGACACTGAAGCAATGAACCTGCCTTTGTTAATAGAATCCGTTTTCTACTACATCTGGCTTCTTTAATCATAGAAGAAATCAGGATTTCTTTTATTCATTTGATGAGAAACTGATTCTATTTTTTTGTGTAACTGTAATGCTTTGTTGAAGAGATACAAATGGTTGATATATCTGTTGGCCAATATGAGGCTTTTACAGAAATATCTTCATCAGCGTTTTCAATATAAGTGCCAAATATTTGGTTGTATATGAGTTTTATTTTAGTTTCGTTGGGTTCAGTATATCTCAACAGTTTTTTGGGTGAAAGGAGTTGGAAGAAGCAACATGCATATTTATAATTATAAAGTTTATGGTTTAAATGTAAAATATCAAGACTCTGCTTTGCCATAAAGGTTTGATAATGACATCTTAGGAATTATTGCCTTTTTTTATGTACGTATCAGTATCTGTTTGTTGTTTCTCTTTCTGAAAGACGATCGCTCACCTCAGAGGTGGATTACTTTTAAATACCTACAATCAGGTGACACATGATCCATTTGACTGACTGGACATTCAGCTACTCCCTAATATGGTTTTACTCATGTTGTATCGTGGAAACCAAACCGGCCTTGCCCAGGATTTCTGACTATACGCTCAGAAAAATCCACAGTCTGTACTTTAAATCAGGAAACGGGAACCAGGCACACACTTCTGCCTGGAAAAAGTCTGCCACACAAACCTCATCTTTGTTGTCTGAACACTTATGTTAAAGAGAGGAATGCCATCATACCAGTTCAGCCTTGGAGAGCGAGGCAGCACCCCCTGCTCACCTCTCTGTGAGCTAGGCTCGATTTACCCAGGCCTCATGCATTCCTCCGCCACGACAGAACGGGAAGGAGGTTCTCAGAGGAATTTCTTATTTTCAGTGATTTTCGGATCGTTGCTTTGCCTCAGAGGAGTTTGGGAACACTGTGTTTTCGTTCAAGAAAAATAAGGCAAGACTCACTGGTCTTGTTTTGTGACTCTAGTCTTTACACATTGAAATGAATCTCTCTCCCACGTGAGGACACTTTTCTCAGCTACAGTTTAAAAACATACAGCCCAAAGGAGCTTCATGATAATCCAACATCTTTACTTTATAGAGAAGCAGCTCTCATAAGAGAAACACAAAATTGACAAAGATGTTATGTTGATGCATAAAACTGTTAGTTTAGCTCACTTTGCATGATGCCAATTATTTTAGTAGTAAAATAAAATCATTGTTTGATTTTTAGAGCAGGAAAAAGATTAAGAAATAACAGTTACATTGATTTGTCGATTTGAAGTAGCTGGATGTTAGTAAGGGATGTTAGATCTGGTTCTGACACAAAACTCAAGAAATAATCTCAGCCTGCCTCGTAGTTATTTCACAACAACAACACAGGCTCATTACTATACAATAGAACTTACAGGAAATTACTTTGATTAAGGGAGAGAGACATGCTTGGAAAAGGAAAAGAGCCAAAGAGAACAGTAGATATGAACAGCAGGAGAGATAAGAGGATCTGTGAGGAGAGGGGTACATGACAGGAGCTGTTGGGGGACTTTTGTTGTGCTGTTCTGCATTGAAAGAGAACTTCTCTATTTGCACAGAGGCAGAAGAGTGTAGACCGCTCTGTGATTTTAGCGATCCAAAGCAGCAGTGAGATGAGACTGGGGGAGTGTAAATTGCTCATGGAAGACGCAGAAGGTTGTAGCAGTCTGGGAAAGTTGCAAGGGTAGAAACTAAGGCCGATTAGGCAAGGGGCTTCCTCTCATGTCCAACCTCCTGTTATTTCAAGAACCCGCTGATGACTCTGCCCTTTTTTCTCTCTGCAGTCGCACCTTTTTCTGCCTGACCACCTCAGGTCAATCACAGAAAAATGTCTGCAAAGATCACAAAAGAGGAGTTGGAGGAGATGAGGACGACCTTTGGGAAAATTGGTGAGTAAAATACATTTTATCTTGACAGTATGTTATTAATTCGATTATTTTATAACTGCAGAACACAATATGTGCTGGTTACAGCTAAGGCCTGACCAACCTATCTGTAGAAATAATGCCATTATGAGCCTTTCAGACACATCAGTGTCGACCTTTACTTTATTTATTTCTTAATTAAAATTTCATATTTGATCTATGTTTTGTTTTTATTTATAGTTTATGGTATCTAGCTACAGCTTGTGTGCAGGCTGTTGAATTTTTTGTGTAACTTGTAAAAGACCTTCATTATATATATCTATGATTATTAAAACTATAGCAGTGTAAATTGCAATAAATGACTGCTGGTGTATAATGGTCTTTATTTGTTTCTGCAGATCTCGACAACGATGGATTTATCTGTGATGATGAACTCAATGAGCTCCTTAAAGAGGCAGGCCATGTGCGGCCTGGGTACGTGGTTCGCGAAATCATCCAGAAACTAGATCGCAACAAGGATAACAAGATCAGCTTTGACGAGTTTCTGTCGGTACGTAAAATGGAGCTCACAAAAACCTCGTCAAGCTTGACAAGTTTTTACCCCCTGTTCTGAGATTCTCATAGGTGGTCTTTGTTTTCTGTTTTGCCCCCAAACCACCTCGCCCTCCCTAGTGAGACAGCTATGCAAAGCAACTTTCAGCTGCTAAATGCACAAGGCCTCTGCAGACCACACATACACACATATGCATACAGTACGCACTCTGGGAATGTGGAAGTGAGGTCAGCAAAGTGGTGTGAGTTCCAGTATGTAGTTTCAGCAGTAATGAGGGAGCAGTCAATTAGGGGCTACTGCATGATTCAAAATTTCAAGATGAGGAGGGTGTAGCTGTGTGTTGCCGCTCTATAATAGTTCAGATGTCTTGTTGTAGGATGTGTGGCTTTTTGGTCATTAATTGCTGAACTATGATTATGACAAATGGAATTGAATGGACCTAAAGCATTTAGTGTAATGAGCTCATTTATAATCTTACAATATGAGTTACTTAATGGTTTCATGATGTCAACAGTGACCTAGAGTTTAACTGTGTTCTTTTGTAAGTGGCAGATTTATGTATGATATTATAATAATGTGTATACTGATCATACTGCACCTTTTTAAAACAATTTCTGTACAAAGAAAACAGCCTTAATGCATTTCAGGACAATTTTACTCAAAGTAGAAATAAATCCTCCAAAATTAAACATTTTAAACTTTGGACATAAACATATGTTTAGAACTCGAAAATAAAAACTTACAAATAATAGAACCGTATTAACAAATGTCAAGCAATTAATTTGGTTTATAATTTCTGTCACCAGATTGATTAGCTGACTGTAATTTGGATTTTACAGTCAAGTATTGTTCATGTGCTGGCAGGAAGAGTCTGTATCCGGGATTTCCCAGTTGGCTGAAAAACAGCATTGTGCCATTGTGTTGGGAAAATTGCGCGCTTTAGAACCAGGGTTTCATAAAATACCAATTTACCAGTATCTGAAGTCAGATTGAATGAGTTCTCCTATACCACATTCTTCCAAGTTTCATAATAACCTCCTTGGTGGAATCTTCGTCCCAGTCCACACAGCATATACATAAACTTAAAAAATAGCTGTTAACTAAAACTTGCAGAACCGAGTGGAAATCTGTATCATTCATGTAAGGTCATGATTGTCTTTTTTGTGGTTACCCCTTTTAATCTTAAGTGCACATACAATGACGGCTGGCACCCTGTGACCTTGTGTATATTTTTGTGCTCTACTTGTGAAACAAAAGTCTCAGTAGCAGACTGAATAGCTCATTGTGGCTGCACCAACGCCTGTGGGGCTGTGGTCACTGATGAAGCAGTGATAACTTCAGCTTCAGGAAGTATCGCGCATATCACGATAGAAAAAGCAGCTTTGTCTGAAGCTGCTCACATGTTATACATTACTGATAAGCTACAGTCACACCACAGAGCTCTCTGTGCTCTCATTAGTTGTTGTTGAGACGTGTTTAATATTTAGAGGTAATTGTCATTAATAATTGAATGTTGAGACATTGGGACAAGCGTTTGGGTGTTGGTGGTGTGGTGGTGGGTGATGATAGCTCTTGCCCTGTTGGTTTACTGTTACTGTTGATAACTCATAATTACATACTGGCACTCACTCAGTCAGCACTGTAACACTAAGATTGGATGTGCAGTGACAGTCAAATCACTACCGTGCACTTAAATGCACTAAACAACATCAGTTGCTGTTTTGAGCTCATTGACCTGGTGTCTTCTTGGACTTAATAGTAATTTAAAAACATTTTCAGCCCATTCATATTGTTTAAAAATGCAGTTTGTTGCCACGATTACCATTTGATCTCATCCCTGTAGCCAGCAGGTTGGCTTTGTGTTGTAAAGACATGGAGGAGAAATTCCAGAAATGTGTCTGTGTCTGCTCTGTGACCTTGGCTGTCATGAAGGCTAACTGGAGCCTGATAAGAGAGCAAAGCAGAAAGCAAAGTATTGAAACAGAGAGGAGATGATTTAAAGCACAGACTTATGACTGCAGCGAAATATGGTTTTCACCATCCAATTATCTATTTATACTTTTTGATAGTTTTTTTGATCATTGGAGAATTTTTATTATTAATTCTTAGACTTTGTCACAAATACCCAGAGCGATTTGTCTAATCAAACCTATATGTGAATATATGTGTAACCCTGTGTGTTACAGATCAGTTCAGCTGACTTATGATGTAATTACCACAATATGGTTGATCTGGGTTGAGATTCCTTTATAGATTAGCTGAATTAGATTGGACTAATCAAGTAGCCACTAGCCACTGATTGTTTACTGATAATTTATATCTTTTAATTGGAACACTAGCAGAAAATAGTCATTTAATTATTTTTTGATTGGTTCAACTACATTGCAATCGCTCATACACAAATCAAAATGCACAATAAAGATCCCACGACTTTCAGCCTAAAGCAGTTACAAAGGATTTGTGTGGTATAGGAGAGATTGGCCTCACTGGTGTTCCTTGATATTGTTTTAGATCGTCCTGGAGCTGAAAGGCAGTGAAATAGCAAAAACCTTCCGTAAGGCCATCAACAGAAAAGAAGGCATCCTGGCCATTGGAGGGACGTCCGAGCTGTCGAGCGAAGGCACACAACACTCGTTCTCTGGTAAGTCACAAAGAATCTGACCTTATTGAAATGTTCTCCTTCTTTTATCCAGTCGCTGCTAATGTTTGTCATAAGGAGTTGACTTTGTCCAATTCAGGCACGGATGCATCACTTACCAAGGAAGAAACATAATATACAATATAACCTGCTGTAATTAGTCAGTATGAGCAAAACTGTCGTATTTTATCATTGGTGTTTTAATAATGCTTGTATATGTACACATTTACAGAGGAGGAGCGATTTGCGTTTGTGAACTGGATCAACACGGCTCTGGAAAAAGACCCTGACTGCCAACATGTCCTGCCTATGGATCCCAACACAGGCTCCCTGTTTGCATCTGTCGGAGATGGCATAGTTCTCTGGTGAGATAACCTATTTACTATTAAAGCTCTGTCACCAAGCTATCCTGCTCATATAAATGTCAAATACCTCCTTGTTATTGTACTTGTGGTCACGTTCCAGTTGAAAAAAACTGGAGAATGACAATTAACAATGACAATATTCTGCTTTGCATTAAATACATATTAAAATATGTATTACAAACACAATACGACTAGATTCAATAAAAAATATTTACAAATGATAACATATACTTTTTGTGAAAAAAAAAGTTCAAAATCTACAAATGTGTAACCATTATAATCAAAATCAAATCTGGGCTGTTACCGTAGTTAATAATAGGTAGTATTTGATAACTTTGTCATGTATTTGGATCAGCATCAAACAGACTGTAAAGACCAGTCCTCTCTGTCTGCACATATTCCAGACAGATTCCAACTGCATGACAAACAAAAACTCTGCTCACATGCTGAAGTTAACTTAACAGGGATATTGAGGGCTTGGAAAAAAGCATGTTGGCCAAAACATGCTAATGAGGAAGCAACCCCATATGATTCATGTCAGCTATGGAATAATTTTTTCGAAAGGTAGAACATGCTTGCAACCACTTGATGTTGGTTTTACCTTCACAATAAGAGGTGACATTTAGAAGTTAAACTCCCTTTTTTGTTTTTGTATTAGTAGTATTCAGTATAGTGAGTGACTGCAGAGACCTTAGAAAGGATATTATCAGTTTGTTAAAAATGTTGTCTACAAAAATATTGATTTTGACACCAAGTTGCTTTATACCAGAGTTCACAAATTTACTACGACAATAAACACACACGCACACTCACAATCCTTTGCAAACAATGAACATGTGTGTTTCTATCGCTGCCTTGTTTTACAACGTTGACACAAGCTCATGTTTGGTTTTGTGTGTTTACACAGCAAAATGATCAACCTGTCAGTTCCAGACACTATTGATGAGAGAACCATAAATAAGAAGAAGCTGTCGGCGTTTACAACACAGGTCAGTCAAAATTAATTCATGATGGTGAAGGGTTTTTTTCCCATCACTTTTTATGCAAATCTTCCAACAGCTGATACTCTGTTCTATACAGGAGAATCTGAACCTGGCCCTGAACTCAGCTTCTGCCATCGGCTGCCATGTGGTGAACATCGGTGCTTTAGACCTGAAAGAGGGGAAACCTCATCTGGTACTGGGTCTGCTGTGGCAGATCATCAAGATTGGTCTGTTTGCCGACATCGAGCTCAGCAGGAATGAAGGTACGGGCCATTGTTGAGACTGTTCTTACATAACACATATTTGAGTCTGTGCTCCTGTCAATAGTGTGTCCTGGTCTGAGGTCAAGTAGCTTAACTAAACATCAAATGCTCCCTGGCAGCTCTGGCAGCGTTACTGAGAGATGGGGAAACTTTGGAGGACCTGATGAAGCTGTCTCCAGAAGAGCTGCTGCTACGCTGGGCAAACTTTCACCTGGAAAATGCTGGCTGGCAGAAGATCAACAATTTCAGCAGTGACATCAAGGTGGGCCCTCCACACTGACACTGAGTCCAGCTGGTTTTTAACACTTGATGCAGGAAACCACTTTCCTAAAATAAGACAATTACAGGAAGTTTCTATAGGTTTTGTTGATACACCAACACAGGCATCTATCAGCACACTGAACAACAAAGTATATACTTATGTGTGCACAAGCTAATGCAAATAAACGCCTCCACTGCTCCCAAAGTAGTATTGAAAGAGTTGTATCTCTAGCTAACTGACTAATGTCAAATATTTATGAAATGTTTCAGTATGTCATATATGTCCAGACTGGGTAAAATTTATGTTTTGTTTTTGTTTCTCTGACAAAATTCCCATTTCTAAGGACGCTCCGATTACTATGTCAGGCGTATGTTGGGCGTTTCCACAACAACCATGCATGTATACAAATATAGCTAGCTATAGCTATTATCTCTCCTCTAAATTTTACTCTGTATTCAAACTTATATTTAAATATCAAATTCATGAATGAAATCTAATGTAGACACTGTGCACATATGAAGAAACATGCATGTCACTGTTGATGAACCAGGAGACAAAAAGATATACTCATGTTACACAATGAACAATTTCTTGTTCATTTATTAACAGAAATCTTATGGCTTTTGTTTGTTTACATTATTTTCCAGGACTCAAGGGCCTATTTTCACCTCCTGAATCAAATCTCTCCAAAAGGCACAGAAGAAGACCAGCCTCGCATAGACATCAGCATGGCAGGCTTCAGTGTAAGATCTTTTCAACGGTCTGCGCTCACAGTTGACTTTCTCCGCCATGTGGTAACAGCTGTACGGTGTCTCTGATGTGGAGCATGTGTTCTGTGTGTTGTTCAGGAGAGAGACGACATGAAGAGGGCAGAAGCCATGCTGCAGCAGGCCGACCGGCTCGGCTGTCGACAGTTTGTCACCCCAGCTGACGTTGTCAGTGGAAACCCCAAACTCAACCTCGCCTTTGTGGCCAATCTGTTCAACAAATATCCAGCACTGACCAAACCTGAGAATGAGGATATTGACTGGGGATTGTTGGAAGGTATGGAGAGCAGAAGAAGGCAGATTTTAATTCCAGTATTAGAGTAGCATCAGAAATCTAAAAAGGAGTACCAGGACCTGTTCAGTTCTGCATATTGTAAATCCCATTCACTATAACAGAGGTTGAAACCCCCTGAATACCATGATGCTTTGCTGTTTAGGTGAGACGAGAGAAGAGAGGACTTTCCGAAACTGGATGAACTCAATGGGAGTGAACCCACATGTCAATCATCTTTATGGGTATGTTGCACACACGACAATGTTGTGTCACTCCTGTGTGTAACATCTGAAGCGTTTTAACAGTTGATGTGATCTTGTAATTTATATAATTTTACAAATAATCCAACGCATTCTTGTCTTTTAGAGACTTACAGGACGCCATGGTCATCCTTCAGCTCTATGAGAAGATTAAAGTGTTTGTTGACTGGAGCAACAAAGTCAACAAGCCGCCTTACCCCAAACTGGGAACCAACATGAAAAAGGTAAACGAAACCCCTTGCAATGATTCCTAAAATCTGTATGTTTGTCGTTTGCCAACTATTTTATTTTGTGCCCCTAGTTGGAGAATTGTAACTACGCGGTAGAACTGGGCAAATCAGCCAAGTTCTCCCTTGTCGGCATCGGCGGGCAGGACCTGAACGATGGCAACGCTACCCTGACTCTGGCACTGGTGTGGCAGCTGATGAGAAGGTGAAACATAACTACAACAGTGTCACTTCAGAAAAGAGAAGTTGAATTGCATCACTAAAATGAAAGAAAAACTGCTTCCCATTTTTGGTTTACCATTTAAAAAAAAAAAAGGGAAGTAACGCTTCAGCAAGGTGCATTGGATTTTCACACCGGTGACCATAAAATGTAATTAATGACAACAAAGAACAAAGACCTATTTTATATACAAAAAGACATAAAAAGGATTAACTTATGAATCATAAAGCTGAGGATATTTGGGAGCACAACGGTGTCACCAAATAACATTTTGTTTTTCAGTCAGCATGTCTGTGTGGTATTTTGAAACGCTGCAATCACCATCAGTCTTCATTGTCAGATTCATTGTGATAACTACATATTTACTGTAAACAATTTCTCGGGACTCTGCAGTTATAAACCTCTCTTTCATGCCAGTGGTGGTGTTAGTATGTGCGTGTTCCTCCAAATCCAGACCACATTTCCATGAACTCACTTGGCTCCCGACACAAGGGATGTGTGTTGCCATATTTGGTATTTCTCCATATTTTTGTGTTCTTCATGTCAGATTTTCCAAAGTTTGTGTGACCCAAAGAATCAACAAAGTCCATGCTGCTCGACATGACTGTGCGGTTTTCAAGTTTCAAGTTTTTTTTGTTTGTTTGTTTAGTTTCAGTTCCACGTTCCCACATCTTTGCGTTAAAAAAAGTTACCTGTTCAATTCATGTGCCTGATAATCAAGCTGTGTCTCCACCCTTTCAGATATACATTGAATGTACTGGAGGAACTGGGGGATGGACAGAAAGTAAACGATGCCATCATTGTAAAGTGGGTGAACAACACGTTGGCAGAGGCTGGAAAATCCACCACGATTGCAAACTTTAAGGTAAAGCTGTTTTTTCTTACACTGCTGTGAAAAGACATATATGTTTAGATTCAATTAAATTGTTTACGTATAGAATTTATAATATCGTCAAATATGTGCTCTTTTTAAAAGTCTTTTCTGTCTTTAACTGCACCTCGTGATCTTCATCAGTGAAGGGAGCTGACTCAGATTTCACCACATGACAAGTTTACAGCGTCATATGATAACATGTGGTCATATTTGGGGGCGGCACCAATGTGTTATTTCTCTGACTCATTTGTTGATGAAGACCTTAAGGTGCGGTTGAAAGCTCAGAAAAAACTTGTAAAGTGAACATGTGAAGTTAGAATATTTTACACATTCTAGTCCCAAAGTTAAAAACATACTACAGAATATTACGGCCATGGTGAATGTAAAAATTGAGAATAGAGTTGTAGTCTATTTTTTTAGGAAATTAGCAACGAGGAGAACTTGTACTCGTCTGAGTTCCATTCCTTCTGGATCCAAAATCGTAAATGTCTCTCGTTGTGAAACTCTGAATATCATGCAGATGTAACCAATGATTACCTCACAGTGGTCCACAACCAAACATTTCCTCCTCCACAAAAGAGGCAATTTCCTCCAAGTGTCTGTGTTTCTTTGTGTTTCCCACACAATCTTTTCAAAGTTGTAATACTATAATGTGGTGCTGATGAGCCATAATATTCAGTATTACATTATATGTGTGCCCTACACTATAACTTCACAAGATGCAGACAACAGGCAGATCATCTAATAGTCCCCCTCTAAAATGATATTGTGATATATTATTTTTTTCTTCAACATGGCCATAATACTCTAAGAACAAACCTCCATTTTCAAAAAAGATAAGTTCACAAACCAGCAGTTTCATGTTATTTACATAGGCAGTGTGGTACAAACTAAGAGGCACTACATTTTCTGATTGGTCATGTAAGCTTGTGTGTGTCAGACCCTTATTCTGTGTGTGCTGTGGTGATCAGGACAAGGAGATCAGCAGCAGTTTGGCAGTATTGGAACTGATAGACGCCATTCAGCCCGGCAGCATCAACTACGACCTGATAAAAACTGGCAGCCTCTCTGAAGATGACAAGCTGGAAAACGCCAAGTGAGACTTCCTGTGACAGAAAAAAAGAAGCAACCGTATGCAAATTATTTTGGTCATTTTTTTTTTTTACATGATCTCTCTGTCCTTCCCAGATATGCCGTCTCCATGGCGAGGAAGATCGGAGCCCGTGTCTACGCTCTCCCAGAGGACCTCGTGGAGGTCAAACCCAAAATGGTGATGACAGTCTTTGCCTGCTTGATGGGTCGGGGGATGAAGCGGGTCTAAGAGACTGGCTGGGATCAGTGTGACACTTACTTAACTTGTACCCACAAGCCATTAGAGTTTTAAAAGAGCTCCCCCAACTGAAGGAAATGAAGAATGGTTTTCTATTTGAATGAGAATGATGAAGTCAGAATGATTTGCATGTGTCCCTGCCTCTTTTGACTAACAGAGGTGTTTACTAAAGAATGATGTGCTGTCCTCTTTATTTAAAAATCCAAAATACTAAATTTTCGAAAACAGATGGGTCTCGTGTTACAGGCAACAACTTGTTACTTTCAATATCCAGAACTCTTAAATAATGTTTGTTTTTTAAAGCGAATATGCATATTTCCAGCTGCAAGGTTGTTTACATATTTTTACTCAGACTGATAAAGTAAATTATATCCTTGACTAAGCAACACACATTCCTGAATTCAATGCTGATGAGCTGAATTCACAAAAAGACAATGCACATTAAGGAAATGACACCAAAGACCTGCAGCCTTCATAATCAGCTGCCTCAAAAAAAAAAAAAAAAGAGAGTTGGAGTTGAGATGTTTGGGTGCAGCACACGTCAAAAAAACACCCAAACATTCACTCTCATATAATGAAGTACAAGCATGTCTTAATAACTGGCACTATAAACTTCATACTTCTACATATCTGCATACAGAAGCCTTAAGGTGGAATGACACTAATAACCAGCCTGGTATGCTGTCTGGATGCTTGTTTCTTGGGATTATTTTGTGAGGTAAATGTGTTTTTGGGGTGTCTGGTGTATTTTCTTTGTTTTTTACTTTGGTCTGTTATGTTGGATGAGAAGCAGGCTGACTGGACTCTCCTGGCTTCTGCTTTGCATTCTTGTCTTAAAGATGACATGTACTTGAGCATTGAGGTTTTTTCCCCCTTATTTTGTATCCAACATTAGCAAATATAAACAGTAAGTTAATTCCAGGTAGCTTTGTAATAGTCTATGACAATGACCAAATTGTATTTGGTCTCATGTTCATATCTACTCAAGTGCTTTACATGTAACAATAAATATGACTTTGAAAAACTGCTTGTGTGTCTCATCTTCAGACCAGATAGTGCATCAGCTTTTTTCTTTACAGTGCATAGAAAAAAAATATAATGTTGCAACACTCAAATTTAAACTAGAATGATTCTCAACAGAGCACAACCTCTACCAAGGCCCAGCTTTCTCCTTATGAAACCACTTCGAAATTCACTAGATCCAGATTTTTATTTCATAAAAAAAATTTCATCTGAGAAATTGAGGAAATGTATATATCTCCCAATGTTAATCTCCACTCACTAATCCAGCTCTGCACCAAATTTGATAAAATATCAATTTGTATCATGTTGTTGTGATAATGTCTTTTTGCATAATCCTGCTCACCAACAGACCAAAACATGTACACATCAATATTGAAATATTTCTACTTTGCGTCAGCAATAGTTGGAGAAAATCTGGTCAAGACGATAAAATAAACACCATCAATACTGAGCAGTATCTGTGCGGAGTGATTTAAACATTTGCTCAGGTTTCCAAAGCCGTGGTCCACATGTTAACAGAAAACATTTTGCACAATTGTAAAATTTTAATGAATTTAAGACTGAAAAAATATTCTTGACCTCAGACACTGAATACCACGGGTTTTATATTTGTAGATTTCTGAATGGACTGAGTCATGCAACTAGATGTTTGCAAGAGGAATAAATTGACTGTAACTTTAATAAATCATATTTCCATGACAACTGAGCAAACTAACTCCACTGAGGCAGATTGTATGATTGAAAGCTTCACTACAGCTACTGAATGGACCATGTGGTGACACAGTCAGGTGAGTTTGGAACATCACCACTTTAATAATCTTTAATAATCTCTGTCTACTTTTACTGATTTTAAGTTGTCGTATTAGTTTTCCAGATGCTCCATTTAAAGCTTGACTGATGCTTGTCTTTATATCTAAAAGGAAATGTATGACTGAGCCCAGTAATTTATATTTATACTAATAGGAAAAGAAGTGATACAAAAAGTGATACAAGAAATGTTAAAAATAAGTAATAAGATGGGTTTTGTTAATGGAATTTTGAGAAGTTTTAAAGTGTATCACTGGATCTTCTTCTTTGTTAACAGCCATGATTCTTGAATAAACAGTCTTGTAGTACATCAGGGGCTTGATAGTGGCAGATTGTAGTTTACTGCTCACTGGCCTGAATCTCAGTCACATATAAAATCCTCTGGGCTCAGCTCCCTCAAGAGTTTCTCATCAGGCTTCGAGATTTCCAAGGATCTGATTAAAAGCTGAAAGCTGCCAGGCTCAGTCAGACAGCAGGAGGGATGAGGAGGAGGCTGCGTCTCCTGAGGACTCCATTATCTGGAGCTTCAAGCTCCATTTGCATCGGAGAGTGTGTCAGCATGGAGTTGGAAAAAAGAGTTTGAATTTAAGTGGATGGAGTCACAAGATCTGAGAACATGCAAATACCCAAACACATCTCTGATGGTTTTTCATCAAGAGAAGAGAGATCAGATGACAAGTCTCAAATCCAAACTGGAAAAAGATTAGAATGAACCAAGATAACACAGTTTGTCACTAATAAGGAAATATTATATAGATGTATATTACAGAAAATATACAGCCAACAGTCGAATAAACTGTATTCAGATCTAACCAACACAACAATGTAGGTCTTTAAATACTTGACTACAGGTGCTGAGGCTGGGGAGGTGGAGCCAGTTTTCATCATACGTGGTGAAGCTGTTGAATAGTGGTTTCAAGGTTGCACACACCCCATCTATTTTAGAATATTTACACTGATCACCTGTATTCATTTTGTATTCATTTCAAAACTCTTTTATTTGTTTATAATGCACTGTATGGATCATGCATCAGAAATGTTTGTGGTTGATGAATCAGCCTCTCAGATCCTCTGGTTCTTCTTTTTTAGTTTTTTCACGAAGAGGAAACCAGAACATTCGATGATGCTTCTTTTAGCCATGACGTTCCAGCCTCTCAGAGGATCTGAGACTGGAAGGATGGAAATTACAAACCCACCCATGATGTCTGGGTATTATGTAATGTGTTTGATTTCATTATTTATATTTATTCTCTATCACTATCTATTCTATTCTAAATTGTTGTGTTAAATGTTCTATACTTAACTATCTTAACTGTCTTTTTGTTCTCTTTTCTAATATTGATTGGCATGGTCTGCATTAATCTCTAAATCTACATTTTTAATATCCTATGTTTTGCCCATCCCCTGTAAAGTAAATGAAGACAATAAAGTAGGAACTTGTTTTTAAGGAAATGTATACATAAAATATTTTATAGGGCCAAGATGTGATATAAATATTAAAGTCCAGGGTGTCTAAAGCTGAATTAAAGCTGAATTAAAGCTGAATAACCTTCCACCAGTGGGATAACCTGTTGAAGTGGCTGCTTGCTTTGTGCTGTGTCTCTCTGCTCTCCAGTGTAAGAGCGCAGCGGAGGAGAGGCACCGCCAGGAGGTCGTCCCAGAAGACTCCTCAGTCTGAAGCTGACATCTGGGCTCTCAACCATTCAGAGGTTTCTCTGTCCTGCCTGCTGTCCCCTCCCTGGCTGAGCTCAGTCCAGCCCAGGTGGACCACGTGTTCATTACTAAGCTGAAGAGGAAGAGGGGAACACACTTTAAAAAGAGTGGCAGGAACGGGACTTTGGATACAGTTTGATTTTTACTCTCACAACATCCACTGTGAAGACGGAGGATGGACTGGCCTGGAAGGAGCCGCTCTGGGTGTGTCTGTGAAGGGAACTTACTGTAAGGAGTTTATTTGAGGAAACTGAAGGTAGGAATAAAGATACTGAATGTGTGATCTAATGCACTTTTCCATTTCTTTTGTCTTTTTTTTTTTAACATAAACTGTACGTATTATTATAATAATGTATATTTGCTTCTTGTGTTAAAAATGAAAGTACTATTTGATTTATACAGAATGTGTTGTCATTGAAACAAACAGAAACTTTGTCTGATTATCCATTACATCATTCAAATTAGATCTTATTTGCACTTATAAAGGAAAACGTATGTTTGGCTTGTTACTGGCATTTTATTTAAAGAGAAAACCATAAGAAGAGGTCTATATATTATTGGAAAGTTTCTAAGTAATACATAATACGATATTAATGATAATAATATGAATTGCCTTAAAAGATAAGATGATGAATCCATTGTTAATTTTCTATATTGACAGCTTTCTTCTTTTTTACAGTTTGTTGAATTCTTTGTTGCCTGCAGACAAATGACATAAATAAAAATGTAATTTAAATAAGTCGAATGTTTTTTCCAGTCCACACTTACATTATAAAGATAATAGTCTTTAGGCAGTTGAATAGATTTAAGTTCCAATTTCCCAGCCTCCACTTATTTGGCTCTCAGGCCCTTATAGCACATACATCCTGGTCTCCTAAGTGATGCGGTTCCTGAGGGAGAGCAGCTGATTGGCTCACTGAGCCGCAGAGCTTCAGGCCCACTGCGTGTGTGTGTTTTCGTTAATGATCCACCAATTAGTCACACAATGGTAACAGTCGTGTAAGCACCCCGTCACCTGTCTGCGCTGCACCAGGGTTGACTAAGTGTGTCACTGCCGTCATGGTCTCGAGTGGTAGGACGGGGTGGGTTGATGAGGGTGCTGGAAGTGGATTGTGGATAAACTCCCACCACCTCAATAGTGTATTTCAAGCAATGAATCATCTGCATGTAACTGTGAGTGAGTTTCTCCTTGTATAGTTGCTTCAGTCACCACAGCAACCAGCTGCTGTGTGACAGGGCCAGCACGGGGACCGTGGCAGACAGTCCCAGTCGTCCCCTCCGTCCCCTGACTATAATCTGTCATACAAACCATAAACACTGAGGCTGTGAACTATAAACACTTCCCTCTCCTGCCAAAGCATCACTGCAGGAGAGGTCATCTGCAAAAATGTTGATAAAAACAGACGGCTGCAGGAGAACATGGCTTTAATGTGAGCGTTTATCTCCACGGTCAGCTCTGAAGATGACGGGCCAGGTGGCGGAGATGGACCAGTCGTCCCACAATCTCTCAGTGAAGACCACCTTGGAGGAGGAGATCGGGAGAGCTGACAGTATTCTGAGCAGGTGATCATTTCATTTCATCATGTGTGGTGAGGTCCTCGGCTCAGGGGTTTGTTTAAGAGAAGCAAACTCACATGTGAGAGTTTTTGCTTGGTTTTCCAGGGTGCCATCTGTCTGCGATGACACATCCTCAGAGCTGCAGAGAGTCGCCACTCTCGACCCTCACAGAGGCCATTCTAGAAATTCTTTTCAGAGGACTGGAGCCATCTCAAGGTAAAACTGAAAACGAAAGCTTTAATAAGCTGAGTCATCAGAGAAGATAAAACTGAACTTTGTTGCTTTTTTAATTGTTTTTTGCAAAAACATACCTG